TTGAGAACGAATACGGAAAGACCCAAGCGAGGGGGCTCGCAAGGAGGAAAGAGGAGGAAAGAGGTCAGGCACAAGTCTTTCGAATCCCCCCCCCCCCCTCCCATGAAAGCCCTCAAACGACCCCTTCTTCTTCCTCTTAACCTCTGGACCTCAAAGTGTGACATTCTGGAGGACACCATCTTTTCCTAGAGAGTTTTCAGATTTCTAAGAGCTGTACGCCCGATTTTCTGTGACTGCACTTTACAATCACACGTAATTTGACGGCTGATTTTGATCTGAATGAGCATTGAAAGGGCCATTATTTTCTTATGGGTGGGGCGTTCGGCTCCAAATTTCCAATGTATTAGGTTGTCCGGAAATTAATGCCCGTTTTGAATTTCAACCGCAATAAGTCATACACTCTTCATTTCTAAATATATTGCAAAGTACCATTCGATAGAGCAAAGCAAGCTCTACAAGATGGCCATCTTGCTTTTGCAACAGCTCTCATCCATCTCGAGTTTTGAGCCAAAACTAAAAAGACTCAGCATCCCGAAAAATCGAAGAAAATCGTAACTCAGTCCATAAAAAACCTACGAAAATTCTAACTTGTTCACGCAAACACTACCCACATAAGACATCAAAATACGCCGTTGCCGTATTTTTTTCTCTTTTAGAAACCAAGAAAACGGAAATTTTCATGCATTTGCCAAAGTGATGCTGTGCCGTCCCCACATAGGTAATTGTATACCACAAGCCTGTAGAAGCACAGACTTAAATTTTCAGCTCCCTACAAGCTTTAGTTCTCGAAAAATTTGAATTTTAGCTTGGACCACCTAACTAGGGAAAGCTATATTCGGTATTTCTCGAGAACTAAAGCTTGTAGAGAGCTGGAAATACAAGTCTGTACTTCTACAGGCTTGTGGTATACAACTACCTATATGGGGACGGCACAGCATCACTTTGGCAAATGCATGAAAACTTCCGTTTTCTTCGTTTCTAACAGAGAAAAAAATACGGCAACGGCGTATATTGATGTCTTATGTGGATAGGTAGGTGCCAGAGTAAGCGAATATTTTGCTCAGGTTGGGGTCCCGCGCAGAATGGACGTCACTCACCATGCTGGCGTCAATCCAAGTGATGTCAGTGCTGCGCGGGACCCCAACCTGAACAAAATATTCGCGTACTCTGGCACCTACCATAGTGTTTGCGTGAACTAGTTAGAATTTTTGTAGGTTTTTTATGAACTGAGTTACGATTATTTTCGATTTTTCGGACTGCTGAGTATTTTTAGTTTTTGGCTCGAAACTCGAGATGGATGAGAGGTGTTGCAAAAGCAAGACGGCCATCTTGTAGAGCTTGCTTTGCTCTATCAAACAATACTTTGCAATCTATTTAGTGATGAGAAGTGTATGACTTAGCGCGGTTGAAATTTAAAACGGGCATTAATTTCCGGACAACCTAATAGCAAGAAAAAGCTATGTGCTCAATACTTATACCAGCAATGGAGCGCTTTCTGGATTTTGAAGGCAAGTTAAAGGGGTGTGCCGCCCCATTAACTATATCAAAAAACATTTTTAGCGGACAGCATTTATATGAATCGATAGCCTAAACCTTGTAGATTCCATAGAACTGTTTGGAACCTGATTTGTCTTCTTAGCTCTAAGCAATATTTGGTGAAAGCACAGCGATCAAAAGCGAAAAATGGGAAAAACGAGATTTTGGTTGGCTTCTAATTCCACAGTTTGCGGAGGGGACGCAGGAGTTCCTAGCACCTTTATTCGCACCAGCATTCACACTCCAGAAGGCTCCTCGCACCTTTGCGCAGAGGTCAAGGCCCGCCCACCGCTCCACTCCTTCATTGGCCTCATTCGGAGCCTGCGGCTTGCGGGAATAGCATAAACATGCAAATGCAAGAATTCGTGAAAATTCAGACTCAAAATTACGAATTTTGAAGCGCAATCTTTGAAAGCCGGTTTCTATGAGGATAGCCAACGAAAAGTTGATTTGGGGTAACTATATTAAAACGCAAATCCACTTCTTTTCGAACAAGCCATGAATCTAGGTTTAGATTTTAGTGAGCTATCAAATTAAGTCTGATTCAAACGAGAACTACTGCATCGATCTAATAAGTATAGTAGATTGGGTAAACTCGTTTTGGTATGCAGACAGAATCTACAAAATTTCAGCTGTTAGTTTTTTGCAAAAGTAGTACCAAACCTCTTCGAAAAAGGATCTTTCTTATGATTCATTATCATGGACACACATAAATTAATACAATTCCAGTGACTTCCAGTGTTGAGCGCTCATTCAAATTCTATGAAAAAATCGTTATATGATAGAAAGCTCAATTTTTCGTTGTTACATACGTCTTGCTCCAAAACAGGTCAAAACCGCATTAGGTCATATTTCGCATATTCCATAGAGATTCTATGATTCTGTATTTTAATTTGCATCAAATTTGAGCTATACGAAGTTGTAACCAAAACTAGAAAAATCCTACTGCCCGAAAAATCGAAAGAAGCCGAACGTCCGTCAGAAAATATTTGAGATACCTGCACCTTGCTCAATTGATACACTTTCAACCAAACGTACACATGTACAGTTATCTCAGCTGAAAGTCGAAAAACGGAATTTTCCTTACTCTTCCGACAATGCGATGCCAACACTAACGCCTCATGGTCAAAAGATCCCTCAGTAGTAAATTTGTCGTCCCTATATTGCAAAGGCAACATGCCCCAAATGATAGATCTCATAAACTCTAATCTGTCACTTTCCATCCTTCATTATTCATCCAGAACACTGACAATTATCCTCCAAACCTGCACATCTCTAATGAGATTAGCCAGTGGGCGGGGTAAATGGGCGGAGCAGTCCGAAAAGTGCGAGGACGCCTGGAGGTGCGAAGTAACCCTGCAAGGAAAGGCGGCGAGGCTTTGGGAACTCCTGGGCCGCCGCCACAGTTTGCAGGTCTTCTGAAGCGGGATCCCTGAGATGGACAGAGAAAGAGTAGTGCTTTGTCTTGAGTGCAAAAACGGATAACTAATTCACCTTTGAAACAAAGTTAACCATGTTGGAAATTGACCATTTCATATAGGTAGCCTAGTATCTTGAATCTTCAGAATTCGCTCACACTTTGTCTACAGGGGTATTAACATGCTAATTATGGATATGATACGAATATCATGTTATCACTATTATCAGATTACCCAACTACGACCCCCTCCCCTTTTGACTCCTCAATATGACCCCCCAGGTGTGGCATGCCGCACCCCACGCTTGACCCTGCAGACAACCTATGGCCGTTCCCTAAGATGAGACACCAGAGCTGTGCCTGACCGGGTGACCGGCGACTTCCCTTCCCCTTCTCTCATTCATGCAGATATATAATAAAGATTCTAGTCAAAATGTTATGTTCATATAAAGTAAGCCAATCAGGGTAATGGATTCAAGTCAAGAGAGTGCACCTCTTGGACCTGACACTTATCCACCTGTGTATCTTATGTTCGCTAAAATTTCAACTGCCAGTTCAAAATGAAAACTCGTCATAATTTTACACTTATTTGGGGACATCTAGACGAAGCTCCAGTCAGAGTAGTTTGGGACTGGAAAGTTGTACAGCTGCGGTGAGTATCGCAGACGATGTCCAAGCCCGAAACTGAGTGAATATCAACAGATGTGATTTTTTTCTGAAAACATGAGTACAAGTATGGTGCATCCCCAAGATTATTCCCATATGGAGCATCAACGTGGCTGTCTCTCGATCGACTTAACTGTTATTCGAATAAGCGCCTCAAAATTGCTGGAGTTAACGTGTTAAAACGATCGAAAAGCAACTACTACGTGGATGGTTCATATGGAAACAATTCAGAAGGATGCACGGTATACAGCAGTGGCGACCGAGGGGTGCCGGGAGGGGGGGGGGGAGCTGAAAATGGGTCGCGAAATTCCTGAAATTTACTTACATGAGTTATAAAAATGTGCAAGTGACTTGGCCATTCTTGTAAATAATAAAGATGTTTTTCAAAATTTTCCAAAAATTCAAATTAGCTTTGTAAAAAATTTCTTGCTGTGGTCTTCTAAATTTAGGGGTTACGAGCCCGCAAAAATTTTGCAAAACACCTCACAAATTATCCGAACTGCGTGGCTAACGCCACGCCCCTCGTTTGAAAATTTTGTCCCCCCCCCTCTCCGGAAGGAAATCCTGCGACCGTCTGGTAGAAGGGAATATCAGGATGATAAATAATCCACGCTAGTCCGTATACCGATGAATTCAAAAACCTCATGCTCTTATCCCAGCAAGCTTTTTATTTATGGAAATTTCTCAAAGATACTGAACGCGAATAAGACAGTTCAACGACTGCCATTAACTGATAACATCAACTTGATTTCGGCTTAGTTACTACCGTACTACCACCGTAATACTGTAACCGTACCGGTTAGAATGGATGTTCAGTTTCTATCCGGCAACTGAAGCAATCCCAGAAACGATTTTACTAGAAAGTCCATGATGTTGATCTCATACCGAGTGACTACAATAATCTAAGGGTACAAAACACAAGCTTCAGCTTGTGTTTTGTACCCTTAGATTATTGTAGTCACTCGGTATGAGATCATTTACTTCAGTAAAGATTGTTCTCCTAATAATCGCCTAGAGGATTTAAGCTGAGTCTCAGTATGAACGGTTTTTTTTGTGACGCTAAGAATATGTTGCACCGATCCCCATACCTCAGTCTTGGAACAAACGGATGTAAAAACTTGCAACTTCCATTGAAGCTGAGCCGATCTCATTACACAGATCCAGTCAGGCTCTCGTACGCCTAGCTCGGTCTTGCGTCGCTCCGCCAAGTATCCCCTGGCATTTTAGTGGCTTTAACCGCTGTTCAGGCGTAATAGACTGCCCACGGGCAGTTTATCACGCCTAAACAGCGATTAAGGCGAATACGTCCGTGAAGCGGCGCAAGGGTTGAGCGATGCATGAGCATCAACAACGCTGGTGTGCAAATAAAGTAAACGATCCAAAACAAGAATTATTTATTGACGAGTATCTCCTCAAAATGCAAAATGATCATCATAGTTAGACACAAAAAGTTCATAGACTATTGTTACCCCGGCTGCGATCTTCTAACCACTTCTCGCGTCGATTCCGAAGCTCATTGTTCCATGCGTCAAATGGAGCCATCGTGAATGCTGTTTTAGTCGATTCAAAAAACTGCGACAGGTCGAGACCTTGAAAAGAAAACGATGATTAGCAAGATTAGCAAGATGTCTGATTTACGCAACAAATGGATAGCTTACCGTATTTCCGCTCATAATCGAAAGCTTGGGCAATCATGTCGAATTTGTCGAGATGCTTGACTACCTTTGCCTCCAATGTCTCCTGGGCTTCGTAATCTCTCCATAACTCTATCCATTGAGTACCCGTAGTAGCAACAGGAACAAATGAGGCAATTTTCTGCATTGCCTGAAAGTATCTGACTTTTGTAGGTTTAGATGAAAGAAAATTCATTTGCGAGTATCATCGGCTCCCAGATTCATGCGGAGGTGGAGTCTTGCTAACCTAGGGAATAGCAGTTTTTGATAGCGATAGAGTATGAAACGATGCTATAACGTGGAACCTTCAACAAGTTTATCCTTACAATCGGGAAATCCACAACCTGCCACGAATCTCGGAGCTGATCATAAGCAACTTAATTGAGAAATGGTCATATAATTTCAGCAGATAGCTGTTTCAAGGATGGGGATACCCGAGATACTGACCTTCTCATCTTCTCAGAAACAAATGACACTTCTGTCAGCGATAAGCATAAAATCTGGGGCCTTGGGCATAGTTCACGCAATTTCAGTCGCGACGCGATTTAGCAATTTGCCAAATGTCTTTGAATCCAACACTGGCAGGCTATCGATGCATATCGCGTGTGACTTTCGCAAATCGATAGAATGCCCTAGATTTGGAATACCCTTACGAAGACTTATAAACATTTGGAGTACTGCCAAATCGCGTCGCGACTGAAATCGCGTGAAGTATGCCTGAGGCCTTACTGACTCAACTTTTGATAAATATTTCCATACCTGATTCTCCCTGTCAAACTTCTCTTCATCGCTAATGCCACAATGTGGAGTGATGTCTCCCACGATGGCCTCCGCTAAGTCATGTACGAGACACATCGAAACTGCCCGAGCGATATCCAGACCTGAACTATTTGAGAATTGAAACAATCACTATGCCATCACAGAAATATCCTGGCACACCTTCAATCTGCCCCTCCAAAGACATAGCAAGTACGGCCATGCGATACATGTGAGAAGCCACTGTTTCGGGCTCAGGAACCTAGGAGAATAGTGCAACTCTAATATTGAAGGAGAAAGTCAAATAATCGTAAAGTATTACCAACATTCGAGTGTACCCATCCCGTTCGCTTGAGGTGCTTCACAGCGTCTAGGGTGGATAAGAGCTTCATGATATTGTCATAGGCCATTTCCCTGGAAAAATTCATTCTCCGGATCGCATGTTGACAAGTATCATCGGCTTCCAGATTCGAGTGGAGGTAGACTTTCCAACTCACCGCGTGGCGATTTTTGCTAGCGGTAGAGTACAAGCAATGCTTTGACGTGGAGGTTTAACGAGTTTACCTATGTTATCAGGCAAAGTCTGTAACACACTTCCACACGAATCTGGGAACCGATTGTAAGTCAAATTCACGAAATCATGTGCAGTCGAGTAATTTGCAAACCGATACGTGTGCTGCACGCAACACAAGGCAACTCACGACTATGTGCTTGAAAAATGAATTCTCAAATTGCCTTCTTTCAAGCATAGATTAAAAAGCAGTGTGCAAAGCCCTGGCCATACGTGCAGCAATTTCATCGTCGCGATATTTCATGATCAGAGTGACGAAATCGCTGGTCGCGAGTTCTGTACATACCTACTACCTGTGCAGCGATAAGGTGAAAACACACATCTTAGCTCTCGTTCTAACTTTCCTTTTGGCATATAAAAAGTATTCAGCGTAATTTCTGCACATTTTCAGATTTGTTTATCTTTTTTCGACATCGATACGTTCAACGCCAACAATTTATATTAATTTCTAGCGCATTTGCATCTCGTTCAACTTTTTTCATTGGAACGGAATGCAAACTCAATTTTTTTTCAAATTGTAGCTGCGGTTCCATACATTGCTAATTTTTCGCGATAATCAGATATCTAGATACTACGTTTTATTCAATCACGTGTTTAAAACAACTAAAAATATTCATTTTGACTGATGGCACACATTAGAAGGACGCGCATCACAACAAGAAGTGCATTTCAGGAAATCTGCATCACATTTTAGCATTTCCGCAAAAAAAAAACAAGTACAAAGAGAAAAGAACTCAGAAACTTTCAGAAAAGAATTCGGTTCTCGCGATATCGCCCTATCGCTGATTTCAAACCTGGTGGCGCGACATCGCAAGATTTCGGCCAAATCGCGGCGATATCGCTAGAATTGGTATGGCCTAGGAAAATATGGCCAGCGATCCGTCGCGCCAGACAGTTAGCACGACCGACCTGCATGATTTTCTGGCATGCATAGGGCGCATAACAGTTGTCCTATTTCAGAAATCGTATCGCGATGATACATTTTCAGCCCCTCATCCCATCAGTGTCCTTGCCAGCTGTTCATAATCAAGCATTCGTGGGGTGGCCTGCGGCTACGCCCCTCGAGTGTAGGATAGAATGGAACCGGTCGGCGGCGTCTTATTTGAAAACGCCTGCGCTTGAGCGAGGGCAACGCTCAGGGTAAACGATCGGTGCAAATTTTCCGCAAAGCGTTGCTGCGAGTTAGCCAGTAAAAAAACCGGCTTTTTTGAACTGTTACTTGTGATCCTGCATCTGCCCTACCCTCAGTCGAGGTACAAAGGTCGGATGCCTCAGTCAAGGACAAAGATCGTACAATCATCGAATGGCTCAGTCGAGGTGACCAATTTGTCACCTCACTCAAGGAACAACATCGGGGTGAACCAGTCCTTCACCTTAGTCGAGGCAAGTCGAGGCACGAAGATTGGATGCTCATTGCCTCAGCGCCTCAGTCGCCTCCCGTGCACAGCCACATGAAGGGTTCTGACAATTTTGGTTGCTGCGCCTAAACCTCGCTAGGTCGAATTTTAGCAAAGTTTGTAACTTCATCCCACTTACCGTATACCTACCGTAGTGGCTGCAAATACACCACTGCACGCCACAGATAGACTGTGCGCGATCTGCGCCCCTAGTAACCCCAGTGTGCCAAGTTTCCGACAACTCCGCTGCTTCAACTCACTTACCGTAAGCCTACCGTAATCAGTTCTTCGCCACAGTGTCGAATGAATACCATATTCGTGCTTAGCGCGCCGAGTAACACCATTGGTCCAAGTTTCGTCGATTTTGTGATTTCATCCTAGCTACCGTAAGCCTACTGTAACCCCGCTATGTGACCCCGTGGTGAAAAATGAATACCATATTCGCGATCAGCGCACCCAAGGAACGCTCTGAGCCAAGATTTTACAGAATTTTAAAATTTTGTTAATAACGTTGCACACAACACATCCAGCATGCTTGCAGAAACTACGACCGAATTCTGCTCCGGAGGACTTTTTAGCTGCCTCTCTTCTTTTTTTTTGTACTATTTTTTTCCTCTGACCAAACTAAGGCCCCGGTCAGACTTCACGCGACTTAATCGTCGCGATCTAATCGCCAAGATTTCCATTCATTTTCATTTCACATTCAAAAATGTCGGGCTGGAAAAGTATCACAACCGAATGCAAGTTGATCGGCATGGAATGATGTTGTAACAGTTGTCTCGTCGCGACTCAGTCGCGACGATCAAATCGCGTGAAGTCTGCCCAGGGCCTAAGAGTAATCTCTAAGTTCCACGATAATGGAATTTGCACCAAATTCAAAATTATCGAGAAGCTCAGCGTGCGTTTGATGGCGCTGTTTCTAATGTAGAAAGATTTGGGCGATTTTTTTTTCTATTAGGAAGGAACTACCAGTTACGCAGTATCCTGCCATATCATTTCCAGATTTGCTGTGATCGAGCACCTGTTAAGGGGTTTAAAAGGTGCGCGTTAGCTCAGAGATAACGCAGGGTAACTCAATGTTATAACTGTGAGTTTCGATCAGATTACTACGGACTCGGGATTTCACTAATTTCTGCTATAAATGTTTAGCACATCCATTATACTCGAAATCAGAGTATGTGAACCTGCACAAGATAGATAGACAAAAACAATACAGATGTTTGGAGTATCAAGATATGACGCATCCCCTCTCGGGATGCCCTCCCCTCCCCACGGAGATGTAGTGCATACGAACCTAAATGCACGCTGTTTTGCATCCATTTAGAGTACCTTTCCAATGTGGTGGTTTTTTTGCAAAGTCGTGCAAATAATCTTGTGCGGTATTAGCGGAAAATTTGAGGAAGTATACATCCCATAACTACAACATACAGGCTATGTAAGACATGATAATTGTGGGGGATATCGGGATACTGTTTTCAGATAAGTTATTACCTTCTTTGCTTTTCAATATCGAACCGATCATTGACTTTCGCCACATATTCGCATTATTTGGAATTTTTTACAATTTTGGCTGTTTAGAACCTAGCTCTTTCCGTAGTAGGTTCGTAAGGTTCGCATTGTGAAAACCGAGAAAACGTAGACGTTTATTGGTTGTGCGGTAAAGGTAAATAGCGAATAGCGAAGAAGAATAAATTAGCCTGCTTTCATACGGAAGGAACAGCATGAAGAGAGTGAGCCCAATGTGTATTTGCATATTCTGCGTCAACCATTAGACGCATCAGCGCATTCAACCGTGCATCTGGACTAATTCTCAATTCAGGTAAGGACAGATAATGCGAGTAGACAAATGGCTGACAGCATGATAATAGTAGATTTTCAAAACATAGAGCGCAATCATTATGAATATCGCTAAGTGTACAATCATCTCAGGCCTATGAAGAATTACTGAGGCTTACGAAGCGGAACTGCTATTTTGTAGAACTATAAAAATGGCAGCCACAAAGAGGACTGCGTTAGACCATTTATGGTCGTTGATAAGCAGTACTCTGAGCTCAATTTTCGAATTTGCAAATACAGACTATCGTTCACTTTTACCCTATTAACTATATCAAAAAACATTTTTAGCGAATAGTACTTACGATTCGATAGCTTAAAGCTCGTAGATTTCAGAGGAGTAATTTAACACGTTGACGACAACGAGCATTTTTAGTTGTCTGCCTTGTGGGACAATGCCTTCCACGGAAAAGTCGAAAATTTCTAGCTAAAATCACGCAGACCGTCATCTATACTATACCTCCACAGATTCTGAAAAGCAGTCAAGGAATGTCAAAGTATCCTCTAAGATCAGAGCTCAACAGACCTCATGAAACGATTGTACCCGATAATTGTAATCATTTCAACAAAATTTATGCCGTGACCCACCATGTGGGTCACATTGTCCCACGTGGCAGTCATTGCATGACCCACCATGTGGGTCACGTTGTCGTCAACGTGTTAAGTTTGATTCTTTTTTGCTTTGAGTAACAGTTGCTGAAACCACAGCCATTAAAAGCGAAAAATAAAAAAAAACGAGATTTTGGTTGTCTTCTAATTCCACAGCCTGGAGGTCTTTTGAAGCGATATTTTTGAGGTGAGCAAAGAGTACTGCTTTGTACTGAGTGCAAAAGATGCAGCTAATTTTTCTTCAAAACGAGTTATTCATGATCCAAAAATGACCACCTCACTCAGGTGGTTCACTGTCTGGAAATTGCCCAAATTTCGTCCACAAGGGTTATCAGACGTGCTAGTTACGGATATACCAGCCACTCTCTGCCGTTACGCGGCAGGTTCGGTTGATACTCAGCAGCTCCGACGCCTCGTGAACTTTTCGTATTATAGTAGGTCGTCTCGAAAGTTCTTTCGCACCAAATTCAAAAATTCATAACTTCTGTTTTTCCTAACCGATTTGACTGCATTTTTTTGTAGAAAAGTGCAAATCATGCTCTTTATAACGACATCTTAGATGCCTACGAATGATCATCCTAGGCATATGTAGGAGCGGTAGAAGAAAATTGGTTAAAATTTGGATTTTCTGTGTAGGCTCGTAAATAATCGGAAACTTGCAACAAAACTCGGAGCAGTCAGTGTTGTAGGTTCTTTCAACAGCTTTTTCTAAATCTGCAAAGTTTGCGCTGAGTGAGCGTCTCTATAAAAAGTTATGATTTCCTTGCAAATGCCAAAATAAATCAAATTTGCCCTTTTGTATTGCTTGCTCGAAAATCATAATTTTTCATAGATAGGCTCAATCAGCGCAAACTTTGCACTGTCAGAAAGAGCTGGTGAAAGGACCTGTAATACTGACTGCTCCGGTTTTTGTTGCAAGTTTCTGATTTTTTGTGACCCTACACAGAATATTAAAATTTTGACTAATTTTCTTCTACCTCTACTATCTATGCAACGGATGATCATTAGCAAGCAGCTAAGATGTCATTATAAAGAGCATGACTTACTCTCTCATACAAAAATAAAAGCAGTCAAATCGGTTAAGAAAAACAGAAGTTATGAGTTTTTGATTTTGGTGCGAAAGAACTTTCGGGACGACCTAATATTCACTTTTACTTTAATGCGGAAATGTGAAAATTTGCAGACAATTTGCCATCTTGCACGAATCAGATTTATAGTCTGCGCAGAATGAAAAACTGAGGACATATTTTCGGCTTTGTCAGTTCATTTTGACTCAAGATTCTAACAAGGGAATGGTCAGAAGTCGAAGTGGCCAATCCATGCAAATTGTATACCATTC